GACACGTCATTGGATTTTTAACGGAGGGACTAAATTGGGGTAAAAATGGTAAACAGTAGGGACCAAATCAGGGATTTTTTGAGTTGAGGACTAAGTCGGGGGTCCGTACAATAGTTGAGGGACCAAAATGGGGGTTTAACCTATTTTATATTATATAGGGCTAAAATGTTATTATGGATAACTTTTCACATATCATGGTAAGTCCATTCTTTTGATGTGATTAAAGAAAGATGTATTATTCAAACTATAATTAATGAATATTTTGTTAAGTCCATTCTTCTTATCTTATTAAAGATAGATTATTCAAACTATAATTAAGGAATTGATGAAAAATTCTTTTAAAAACAAGGGCGGTGCTATAGGATGACCTTTTGATATTACTTTTTGATATTCTTTCATATATTATTAAATGAGTGGATGCATTTAATATCATGGATCTCATATGAATTAAAAGAATCAATAATTTAAATTATACGTCAGGTTGAATAAAAAGATTGTACAAAAAGATTGTACAAAAAATTGTCCTAAAATCATTTTTCTAAAAACAATAAGAAATTGAATACCAATTAACATATCGGTATAAAGTCAAGGCAAATTTTCTTGTCGACTAGTGTATCACGCACTAATTAACTTTTTTTATTTGAATCCCCCCTTAATTAAATTGAATGTACATAGTTCACTATTTCATTTTTGAATTAAAAAGTTGCCTTCATTTTAGAATTTCAAAAAACAATCTCATATATAAAGTTCACTAAAAAAAAAAAAAACAACCATACATAACTTAATTTCTCAAAATACATCTTTTTTTTTTTTGTGGGGGGATACATTTTTCATATCCTAATTACTAGTTAGTACTTAGACAACTAGCGTCCTAAAGCAAACATAATATATATATATATATATATATATTCATCGATATTTGGTAAATTTAACCCCAGTTGGAGAGGAATTTTCCAAAAATTTTCCCACCTAATTCCTTAATACAGCAAATAGTCATGTGTCCAAAACCAAGTTATTTCTTTGTTCAACACAAAAATCAAAACCAATATGGGAAATCGAGGTTAACTCCCATCAATTAACCTTGTCCTAATCAACCACCCACTTCCAACAAACTTGATCCAACTTGATCGTAACTTTCTCCCTAACCTGGACCTCTTGAAAACATCATTCCGTGGATCGAACCAACTCCACAAAATTCAACCAAAAAACCCACAATTAGTCCAGCAAACACAAAGTTAACACCGCAGTCAAACGCTTTATTTTTTTATTTTTACTTTTGTACGTGTTTATGGTCAATGTGTCTTTGTATCAATTTTCATGTATTTTGAAACTATTTTTTCATATAACAATTATAAGAATGTATCTTTTATATTAATTTAGTGTATTTAAAAAAAATTAATTTTATTAGGTGCTAACCTTAATATTTGAATTTTAAATTTGACTTACAAGATTACATTTAAACTTATTTTTGCTTAGTTGTTAATTCAACTCTTAAAATTTTAGATGCATTAATTAATTTTCTTATTTCTCCTTCATACGTAGATTTTAATAACTTGTGCCCCAAATACAATTATTTTCAAACTTATAGTAACTCCGTATATTTTAACTACTAAAGAAAAATTTTTATTTATTAGCCAATGTATATGAAATACATTTTGGTAGTTACCCAAAAAAAAAAAATTACTTTTTGGTAGTCTTAATAATTAATCAAATTCAATCAGAAGGAGGATCAGGCACATAATCATCCAACTTCCACGAACCATCTTCTTGCTGAACCAAACCTTTATTCCTCTCCGTCCACCATTCAACTGGCACGTGATATTCATCCTTCAAAACATCCAAGTATTTATTCACAAGCGAGATATCACGATGAACTTGCGGCCTGAATTCTTGATTGGCCCCATTAATGGCAACTCCATGCAGATATATCTCTAATTGGTGAGCATGCGACATAGTTGTAATCAATTCTGGGAAAATTTTTAGGTTCTCTGATTTGCTACTGTCGATATTCACTTCTTGGCCGACATGGGCGTAAATCAGCACCAGCAACGAAGGAACAACATCAAAGGCATTGTTGATGCGTAAAACATGGAGATTTTTGAGTCTGGAGAATACTTTCTTGAAACCTGAATCTCCAACTCGGGGGCTGGCAAATGCAATTACAGTCACCATACAGGCCTTTTTGGGTTTGCTCATCGGCTTGTTATAACCATTGGCAACTATGTCCACTGCATTCAGCGTAGCAATAGCCGCACCAAGGCTGTGGCCAGTTATTGTTATGCTTATTTCCTCTTCCTTGTATAACTCCACCAATCTCCTAACCTCGCTAAGAACCTGAATTGCAGTTAAGTGATCCTTGATTTAGATAGCTTCATTATGATTAACATTTAGAGTAATTAAAAAATTGCTTTGCAATTCAGAGCAAAACATTAATCATTGAATGATTTGAGACCCTCATCCACTGGTTGATATTTTACCGTTCAAACTGTAAAATATCATGTAATAATGTTATATGAAAAAACAAAACACCGAGATATCCTAACCCTTTTAATGGTAGGATGTTCAATTAATCATAACCACATGCCACTTGATGGATGTGACCTAATTAAATAGAACTCATCGTACATCTCATTTTATGGTCATGATTAGATATCTTAACATTTTTTAATTTTCTATTGATGTTATATTTCCAAAATTAACCAAATAGAAATTAAGGATATAATTGAAGTTGTTTTAAAGATTTGAGACACATTGACATAAAAAAAATGTTCAAAAAGAACAAGCTTGCAATCCCAATATTTGTTTGGTGTAGCTGGAGCTTTAATAGAAGTCTTGTTGAAAAAAAAAAGTTGTTGTAAAAGTGTTGTTTTTATAAATAAAAAAACAAAGATAAAATAGGAATAATGTGTTAATTTCATTAAAATTCAAATGAGAAACTCTTACAGAAACACCAATTTGATGCTTCTAAGATTTGCAATGAAATGGAAAAAAGACTAACTTATGAGAAATTGTAATATTTTTCACTAGTTATAATGTTTGGTGCAATTTGTGCTTTTGAAGACAATAAATCTTTCCTACATGCTGTACTAAACAGGTCCTCTGTATCTTAAAGATAAGTGAAATGAAAACGTTACCTGCTCTCTTGCACTTGTTTTATTGAAGACAGACTGCAAGTCCTTTGAGGTGTAGATTGAGTGCCAGCCATGGTGCACCTGGGGGTCGTCATTTTTTCCGAAAATATCAGCCGCCGAGACTAAATCCACTTGAATATCCTTGATCACTTCAATATTTCTCATAGTTCCTCTCCATGCAATCAAAATGTCCCTCCTACCCAACACAGCCTTTCCTTCATCTGTGGCCACCGCGACATAGCCTATCCAATTGGACTGCCCGACGGTAAACCAATCAAGGACGTTAATTTCCGACCTTGCATAAAAAAACTTCGTCACTTGATACTTGTACGGATTGCCTTTCTCTAGACCAACCCTAGAGAAGAAACCATCCATTGGATACCTGCTGAATCCTATCCATTTCGATGTTGTTTCGCTATTGAATGCATCCAAGACAGCTTGCGTTCTTTCGCCGTAGTGAACAATATACTTGCGGAGATCAACATCAAGAGGGTGCAACAGACCTTTCCAATTTTTCTCGCCGCTTAGTTCGCTCCATCTTTCTGCTATGCCCCCCATCAATTGGCGTCCTCCTTTCTTTCTTGAAAAAAGCATGGCTCTTAATATGCTATTGCGCGGTGCATATATATAGCTAGAGAATACAAAAAAGGAAAGAGCTTTTTCTTTTTCTTTTTGCACCTTGTTCTTGTCCTTCTACATAGGGCATTTAATAAATTAATATAATTACCGTTCAGAAAAAAAAAAAAAATAGGGCATTTAATATTAGCTCTATGGATTAAAAATATAAATAATCTAAATGGCATCTTATCTACCTTTAGTTTTGGGAAGGTGCACATGACCTCCTATAGTTTTCAAAATCTGTACATTATAACTACATAAGGTTTGCACACTTTGCCCGCTAAACTGGGAAATGACCTAACCCCAAAGAGAAGGGAAAGAAACCTTACGAGTATTGGTTGTGGTATTTGACTGAGAAAATTTGTCGTGTAGTCCAGCGTTTGTGTAATGTAATTAATTTATGTTTTTTTTTTAAATATGATTGCATAATTAGCCCTAATCATTTTTTATAATTTATTTTATTTCATTTGATTTGTATGTAATGTAATTTAAATTTAAAATTATTTATTTTAAATAAAAAAAATTAACATTGATCTACTTGAGTCGTGAACATTTATACCTCCTTTTAAATAAAAAAATGTTAACTAAAATTTTTTATTTTCTCTGGTTTGCTGAAAAAAAAAAAAAAAAGAATCATTGTTGCCCCAAAGAAAATTTTCCATTATTATATGACAGTCGTTGCGTGAGGGTATAATTTTACTGATTATTATAAATTGGTAATTAAACAATCAATGTCGTGCATTGATCTTGCCCTAAAATAAAGGTTTCTAAATATTATACCTCATGTTTTGAATTGGAATAGTTTTACGCCTTTTTGCGTTGACTCTTTCTTCTTTTTTTTTTTTTTTCCTTATCGTTGATTATGTTGAAGTAAGACACCTTCGTTCCCGCTGATTCCAAAAATGAAAAAAACGTGAGGATCATATTGTTTGTTTATGAAATATATTCCCTCGATTCCATTAAAATAATATTTTTATATAATAAATAAATGACAGTAAGAAAAAAAATTTTATATGTAATTCTTATATATTAAATAATTTTATTTTATCAAATTAATTCCTATTCATATGCATTACGCAAATATTATTTAGAAATACAAGTAAAATAAGTTTAATAAATAAAACAAAGGAAGTATGTATCACTGGTTAATATTTATTAATTTAAAATTTTTAATTTAAGTAATTAAGATTAGAAATTCAAATTTGAGTAATGTCAAATAAATAATTTCTTATATATCTATAAAAAAAAAAAAGTATATAACAAGGGAAGATTTATTATGCAGCTGGTATTCTTCTGGGATTCCTATTTTGAATTCATGTATTCTTATTTATATGAGAATTTTTTTTTTATATTTTAAGAAAAAGGATACTTCTTATTTATTTATTTATTTATTTAAAAATGAGGAATGATGTACCATCTATTTATCAATGAATGGTAGATGAAGGAAAAGGACTTTCTTTCTTTAAAAAATGATGATTGTCAAAAATTTGATTCGGAGTTTTGAAAGGTCAAAATAACACCTAATTAATTGAGAGTTTTTATTTTAAAACTTGCGAGAAAGTAAAAGTGGCAATTCATTTTTTTCCTGTAATCCTTATCTTTTCTCTGAAACTTCCACTCCATTATCTTTTTTTTGTCCCCAAAAGAGCAAGTTTTATATTGGTTTTATTGGTTTTTGGAATATCCAATATGTTTTTTTTTCTACCATTAATATAAAGGTAATGATGAAGTGGTGCAATCCGTTTTGCATTACTTTTAATTATTAGGTAAAATTTTCTATTTATACTCTAAATATTATTATTTTTCATAATTAACACTCTAAAATTTAAAATTTATAAAAAACCTAAAAGTAAATAACTAAATTCCATATTTGCACCCACAATTGTAAGTAACTTGATAATTTATTTTAATTTTTTTATAAATTTTAAATTATAAAAAATGTTAATTAAAAGTAAAATTTTAAAAGATATTAATTACAAAAAATAATAATATCTAAAGTACAAATAAAAAGTTTGGCTTAATTACCAATGAAAAGATTACACTCCTATTATGGGACCTGCCTTCTCCATTGCACGAAATGTATTTCACTTTTCTCTAATGTAAACACAATCTTATATTACATGAAATTCACACAATGATTATGTAAATACAATCTTATATCCAATTTTTTCCTTGAAAGGTGTCATTACAAGTATTTAGTACTAATCACAAACTACATGGGATAAGTACGAAATTGAGAGGTCGCATCACCAACGATCAACCTAGCTCGTCTTATTCAATCAAGAAACAAAGGAAGAAAGAGAAAAATCAGGGAAACCCCAGCCCAAACAGTAAATTAAGATTATTGGAATAAGACACAAACGTGTCTAAATAAGCTAAACCGACGTCCAATCGGAACCTTGTATTGGGGCATAGTACTTTAAATCCAAACCCCAGGACCCATCATCCAGCTGAACCATATCCTTGTTCATCTCCACCCACCATGCGGGTTGCACATGATATTCCTCCTTTATGATATCTTCGAATTTGTTCAATAGCTTGTACTCACGCTCCAGTGTTTCTCCCTCGCCGTCCGGTGTGTTGGCGACTCCTTGTATATATACCTCCAACACAAGGGCGGAGCCAGTGGGGTGCAAGGGGGGGCGCTTGGCCCCCCTAGACTTTTGAAAAAAAAATAAATAGGTCCTATACTTAAAAAAAATCATATAAATTCTTTTTGAAAGAAATAAAATGGTGTGTTCTAAATTTACTCTTTTATAGATTTTAGTATGAATTACTAACAACTTGACAAGTAAAATGAATTTAATAAAATATTTTTATTTATTCGATATATTTGTCATTTTAATATATGTATAATTAATGATTATTTGTATCAAATAGCAAAATAAAATTAACTTAAAATTAGTATTATCAATTCTTTAGAATATTTAGTTTTATTATTAGAATAATATTGAGTAATATTTTGTGATAAAAGTTGTGTTTCATATTAAAGTTTAAATACACAAATTTTAACAAGTTTATTTATATTTAAGGTCTTTAATATTTTAATTTTTATATATTTAGGTCTTAATTTTATTTATAACTTACAAGTCAAGAAATTCATTTTTAACATATACATTTCAAATAGGACTTCGCCCCTCCTAAAATTATTTTCTAGTTCCGTCCCTGCTCCAACATGAGAGGGGTTTTCACTTTCAGGTATTTTGACATGTTACCGTTGATTTTCAACTCCTTGCCCACATGGGTGTATGTGAACCGAATTTGCAGCCACTTTGGCAGGTTAGGGACAGGATCATCGGCGTTGGTGATGCGTAAAATATGAATACCTTTGAGTCTTGAGAGGAATTGGGAGAAGCCGTCGTTTCCAATTCGAGGGCAGCCAGAAACAATAGCTGAAACCATGCAGCCGCTATTGTCTGATCCATTCGACGGTTTGTTATATTGATTGACGACCAAGTCCACCGCGTTCAGTGTAGCCAATGCCGCACCCACGCTATGGCCGGTCACGGTTATGCTGACCTGTCCATTTTCCTTATAATAGCTGTGCTTCACCAGCCTCTTAACCTCTTCTTGAACCTGAATACATACCAATGAAAAATTGATTCAAACACATACAATTTAATGTATAATCAAAATTAAGAATATTTATAACTGAGAAGTAAAGAGTCCAAATAGACAATATTAAGACTCAACTGAACTATTAATATCAACAATATGCATTCTCATCAGTGTATTTATAAGAAAAAAAATTGCATGTTAATTATAGAACTTGCCTGCTTTCTGGCACTCTTCTTATTGAGGATGCAATTTTCATTTGTAGCGGTGTAGATGGAATGCCAGCCTTTGTGCACCATAGCGTTCAGTTCTCTCCAAGTATATCATCAGCCGAGACTAAATCGGCAATTAAATCCATCTCCCATTCACTTTTCTCCAAGGTGCCTCTCCAAGCAATCAATATATCCTTTCTCCCTAGCGCATTAGGCGTTCCTTCTTGATAATCTGTGACCGCTACGTACCCGATCCAGTTGGATTCCTTCTTTGCAAGGAAACCTAATTCATCATAGACATAAATAAATTTGGTCGCCTTGTACTTGAAAGGATTGCCTTTCTCCAAACCTACATAAGAGAAGAAACCCTCCGGTGGGCATCTGCTAAACCCATACCCACTCATGCACGCTGTCTTCTATAGCCTGTGTTCTCTCGCCGCAATGAACAATAAACCGGCAGAGATCACTGTCGAGAGGATTCAACAACCGTTCCCAGTTGTTCTCCCCACTTAGTTCTCTCCAGTTCTTCACTATGCTACCCATCACTTCTAGTATTTTTCTTTTTCCTATCTAAGAAAAACAGAACTGCTTTGTCTAGGAGGTGAAACATCTCATTGCAGGTCATGTGTATATACTGGATGCCCTGTAGAATATCTTCCTTGTCCTTTTAGAGCATGACATTTAATTTTTGCAACTTGCAGGCATGAACAAATGAAAATCAAACGCACATGTTATATATGCTAATTGCATCAATACATTTGCAATCATGTCTTTTTCTCCTCATATACGTACACAAATACATATATTGTGCCACCTTACAAACTTGTATATAAGACCCCAAGCTATAATTGTAAGGCTCAAAACTAAACGTACAAAACCTTAAAAGATGGGGTTGGATATAGGACTTAAACGTTCGATTCAACTTGAGGGGAACATTTGTGGTTGGCAGGCCTAAAAGGCAGAAACGTTTTAATTTCCTTGGCTTACTTTCAAGTTTTGTCTTATTTGAGCGAAAGGAAAAAGGATTATTTATCTTTAATCCTGTATTTTTGCAATTAAGTGCCCATTACCATTTTAAATTGTTAAACTCCAAGTAATTTTGATGATAACAAAACTTCCTAAAATATTTAATGAAATTGAACTTAAGTGTACAGTTGCAAAATCCCAAAGTCCATCAAGAAAAAATCTGGAAAACTGCAGAACTAGATTAAAAAGTTAAATATAGGAGTCTCTGTTTGACTCGATGCAAGAATATTTGATTCTTACCCCTAAATTCGACTTTAGAGCAAAACATGAAGAATTGGTTTGACACAGTGGAGAGTCGATTCTTCATTTGGAGATTCGATGCTTGGACTGGCTAGATTCAATTCTCAAAAGGCTAGATTCGACTCCCAATTCCAAAGAAGTTCAAGGGAACTTTGAGACGCTAGGTAAAGTTGACTCTTCGTTCTAAGATACAACTCTTGGAGCTCAATATTCAACTCTTTGCTTGGAGGAGGAAAAATTAGCTAAGTCCCAGAGTTTCTTGGAGAGTTAACTCTTAGATTGAAGAGGCGAATCTAAGCTTTAGAGATTCAATTCTTGGGTTAAAGATTTGACCTTTAACTATAGAGTAATGGCTAGTTTTTCAAAATTGATATGTCTGCAAAGCATTTAATGCAATCCAATGGTCCTAAATGGTTAATTTCAATCTAAAAAGTATAAATATGGTTGGTGGGAGTATTGAAGAGTTTTATAGACACTTTCATTGAATATCTTTCACCTACCAACTTGAAATTCTTGTGCTTTGACTTGTAAATTTGATTTTTGAGTGATCTTTAATTATTTGTAATTCTTTATTTGCTTTCTTTGAGAGATATCTTGAAGATGTGATTAATTCTATCAAGAGTGATTTGTAGTAAGAATTGTTAAGTTGCTTTGTAAAAGGGTGTGATTTGTGAGAAAACCTATTTTTTGTAAAAGCATTAAGTGGCCCCTTTAAGCCACCCTTATTCATTTTAGTGGAGAGTGTGGAGGAAATACATGGTGTGTGAAACCAAAGTAAAAGATTAAGTGTCAAGTCGTTGAACTAAACCTTTATAACATCTTTGTACAAGCTTTTCTTTTCTTCTCTTCTCTTTTTTATTTTTACTTTGTGGTTGTAAAAAAGGGAAAAAATTTTGAACTCCAATTCACCCCCTATTAGAGTGCATTGAGCCAACAAAAATACTTTTATCCTATTTGACACAAGACTTCAAACTATAATTAGAAGGAAGAAACATACTTTCAATTTTCTTTGCTCTAGACTCTAGACTCTAGATGAACCTTGAGGGGATTGATTATGATTGGAAATCTTAAAAAATAGAAACATGCTTTTTTTAAAAAAAATCATTAATATATGAAAACCACAAAGGATATAAAAATGACCCAAATAGGATAATAGATTAGAGATATTATCATAAAATACTAGAAGATGTAAAATTAAATAATTTAATGCCTACATTAATATCACAACCAAACTCAAACTCAAGATTTACTAGTTAAATTGTATTCTAACATAATCTATATTGACAAAAGATAAATTGGTTGGGGCAAAAAAATTTAGCTAGGAACCCCATCCCCAACCATACCTTCAATAATCAAAAGAAGTACGACAACCAATTTGAGTTTAACCAATATCATATTCAAGTTACTATCCTCTTTTGAGAAGAGCAAATCTCAATAAAAAGTATCGAGAAGCCAAGGTGAAAACCTTCAAAAAAGAGGGAGAAACCTCCACAAGGGAGGGAAAAACCCTCACAAGGGAGGAGAGAACTTCCACCTTTAGTCATCTACCCTAATTGTTGAGGGGGAGAGAGGTAGCAATGATTGAGGGGAAAAAGAAAACAAGAAAAAGAGAAGAAAATCAAGGCTAGAGAAGGGCTGGAGAGGGCGGCTATAGAAATGTGCTTTTAATCTTCTTGGCTCACCTTTTAAGGGTATTTGGACTACTTTTATGAGAAATGTCTCTCTCTAAGATTTTATAAGAGTATTTTAATACTTGTACACCTTAAAATTATAATGAATAAAAAGATAAAAGTGATATTTTTAGCATTTATTTTTCTTGATACAATTTCTAACCCACAAACTTTACTTATCTTTTTTAAAGGAAAAAGTTTCCTATAACTTTCTATATAGGACTCACTTGACGACTTTTCATGTACTTTTCCTATGTCAATTTTTTACCAAACATAACAAAATTAACAACCCAACAACATTTCAATAGAACTTTATTGCAAAACTTAACAACGTTCTATATGGTACTTTAACAAATCACTTTCCCAAGAGAGTTTTTCTTGAGAAAGTTAGCCTTTAACCAAACAGACCCTTCGTGTTTTTGTCTTAAACTGAGAAGAACTTGAAAATCCAGCAAGTTGTGGTCAAATTATCTCATATTAGAAAAAATCTAGACTCTCATGAGTCATGTGATCATTTGGTGGTCTCTTAATCATAGATTTAAAGTTCAATACATAATCTCTACATAGCAATGTATTAAATATACCTTCTTGGTTGAAAACTATATATGCCTATAGCAAAGGTGTGAGGATGTGTCTGAACATTTCAGTTACTCTCCTCCGAACTAGATTGTGCTCCAAAAGGCCGACGTCATCATCTCTTCAAGAGGCTAAGGTCTTCATCTTGGCCCTCATTTCTAGTTGCATGGAAAGCTCATGAGAGCTCACAATGTCTTATCCATACCTCTGCAAAGATCGTTTAAGGCACCACGTTGTACTTCAATAATCACTCTGAGAAAACCATGTGAACCAGGGGTGGAGGCAGAAAATTTTTTCAGGGGGGCAAAATACTAAAATTTTCAAAGTTCAGGGGAGGCTAAATAATTTTTCATATACTAATTTGCAAGATTTTCAAATTTCAGGGGGGCGAGCGCCACCCCTCGCACCCCCTTGGCCACTGATGTGAACCTCATCCCTTGCCTATAAATACCCCTTGGGGTCCTCATCAAGGTACTTTTCTAACTTGTAGACTTTTTCTTGTTTATTTTGGTTGTAGAATAGATTACTATTTATTAAGTATTGGAGTGCCTACCTCAAGGTTGATTCTTGAGTCTTTGCAATTTCATATGTGGTGTTGTGGGCTTTGGCAACAAGGATTGCAGAGCTAATTTAGGCATTTACAAAAGGCGGTGTTACAACTTTGGGATAAATTATTTAAGAAAAAATAAATAAAAACATATGCATAAATTAAGTTACCTTGAGGTTAGAATTACTTATAAAGGTGGATCTATTGTTATACCTTCAATAGTCAATGATTATAAGTTAGGTTTAGTATTTAAGTGTTGAAAGTCAATACCTAACAAAATTTAATTTCTTTGATTTTAGCCAACGTGGAGGCATCTTTGTTCTGTAAGATTGACCCAAAAGGATTAGTCTGGTTACTTGCTCCAAACCCTTACCATAGAAAATATAGAGGTACATAAATTACGAACACAAGATGGAAAATAATTTTTAAAAAAGAAAAAA